TCCGGAGAATACTGTTTTTTGAACGAGTATAGACAAAATTCCAGGCTGAGCCGTAGGCGAGTCCTGAAAGTCTGTGAGTCCAAAAAATTGTTTTTGGACGTGTTGCGTAAAAAATTTTTTTGGCAACCATATGTATAATAACAAGTGAGGTACGTAGTTTTTGAAAGGTATCAAATTAGTATAAAGGTCAGATGATTTATACGACGTTATAAAAGCAGATGATATTTTATCATTGCTCATGTGAGATGGAAGTTGAGGCCATGGCACCATATCATGAGCATATTTTCATATTGAAACTATCATTGGGCACCAATGATGTGTATACGACGCTATGAGAGTTCAGAGAACTGGAGATTTTTCGTACAAACTACGTACTTAGCCCGTACCTAGTTTATTGGCAAAAATAAAGACAGTCGAGTGACTAGTGAGCTAGGTACGTAGTTTATGGGGAAAAATCAAGACAGTCGAGTGTGCTTTTTCTACTTTCTTTTGTTTTTTGTTTCGTTTTCCATTGGCAAGTGATTATCTAGGAACTTGTAAATTTTTTAGTTTTTTCATCGTATCTCCCGAACTATTAAATTCAGAAAAAAATGTTATGAGGATTTTTTGTGGATTTTATCAAGAGGAATAATTTTGGTTCTATAACATTTTCAGATATTTTCAGTTGTTTTCGAGATATTTGGAATTATCTGAGAATAAAATTTTCAACACTATTGTTCCATCTTCCAATCAACAAAATGAAAAAATATTCCATGCCTCAGTGGAGGTAGATGAGCTTCATCTATCGATAATCTATGTTTTTCAATATACAGGGTGTTTCATAGGTAAAGGGAAATATTTCAATGGTAGATAGGGGTCACCAAGGTGGTTCTGAAAATACCATATTTGATACGTCTTAGAGTCTTCATAACGGAGATACAGGGCGATTTATCGATTTCGAATAATTATCCATTCGTCTATATGTATTGACCTACCCAGTATATTTTTCTCAAATTTGGTAAGGAGCTCATATTTGGGGCGTTAAATTCATTCACCTAACGGGCGGAGGGAAAATCCAGGTTCGGCTTCAGGAAAAATTTACATTTATTCGAAATATTAAAATAACACACTGTATTCAATAATTAACACAGTACATCAAAAGAATTGTGAAGAGGAGGAAAAACTAAATTGTGTGTGATGCTTTTTGTTTTCCCGCCACCAATTCTCATCGTAACAAGCATAAACAGAAAGTTGAAAGTATTTCAATTTGAAGAGTATTGGAATTATGAAACCAGTGTCAATTATGATTATTTGATATTTCAGTCAAAAAATCTCTCGAAAGAACTCACTGAGTCTCACAGTCTCCATAAGTCTTAAACTACCCAGTAACATTTTCTTAAATTTGGTAGGTATGTGGCTTACTTGGGACGATGGATTCATTAACCTATCAGGCGGAATGGAAATAATACCAAATAATTATAATTCGATAATTCACCCTGTATCTCTGTTATAAAGACTATCAGACTTTTCCTGAAGCTGAACCTGTATTTTCATTCTGCCTGATAGGTCAATGAATCCATCGTCCCAAGTAAGCTCAATACCAAATTTGAGAAAATATTACTGCGATGGGTAGTCTAATACTTATATGGACGAGTGAATAATAATTATTCGAAACCGATAATTCACCCTGTATCTCTGTTATAAAGACTGTGAGACTGAGTAAGTTCTTTTGAACGATCATTTAACAAGAATATATCAAATAATCATGATTGAAAGTGGTTTCATAATTTCAATACTCTTCAAATTGACATACTTTTAGCTTTCTGTTTATGATTGTTACGATGAGAATTGGTGGCGGGAAAACAAAAATCATCAAATCCAGTTCAGTTTTTCCTCCTCTTCACGATTCCTTTGATGAACTCTGTCAATTATTACATACAGTGTGTTATTTTTATATTTCGAATAAATGTAAATTTTTCCTGAAGCCGAACCTGGATTTTCACTTCACCCGATAGGTGAATGAATTCAACGTCCCAAGTATAAGCTCCATACCAAATTTTAGAAAAATATACTGGGTAGTTCAATACTTATAGACGAATGAATAATTATTTGAAATCGATAAATCGCCCTGTATCTCCGTTATGAAGACTCTAAGACCTATCAAATATGGTATTTTCATAACCACCTTGGTGACCCCTATCTACCATTGAAATATTTCCCTTTACCTATGAAACACCCTGTATCTTCATAGTACCCTATGGGTCGTTAAAATTTTTTTTTTCATATTTTTCACTTTATTTCCTGTACTATTGGGTTTACAGAAAAAATTATGGAAAATGATTTGTAGGGAATGTTCCAGTGGATAACATTGCACTCTTGATAATTTTCGATTTTTCCATTTGTTTTCGATATATATTGAATTAAAAGGATTTCAAATTTTGATGTTTGGGTTTTCATTTGTTTTTCCAGTTTCCGATGGATGCACGAAAAAATTATTGAATGATAATTTGTTGCGTCATCAAAGAGGCATACGGTGCATTTCTCAAATTTGGATTTAGTCTATTTGTTCACGAGATATGTCGTTTTAAAGCGAACCGTGTTTTTCGGAAAATCTCCTTGAAAAACCCACTTGGAATTTTCCGACCCTGCTCAATTTCAATAGGCTTCGTCTCTTCCTGATAGAGGTGTTTTTCACAAAAAATGAAATCGATCGGACCACTTTTGCGATTTGTAGAGTGGTTACAAGGAACTTCCGGTGAAAAATCGAAAAAACCCGGAAAAACCACCTTAGAGTTTTCCGATTTCCTTCATATTTCAATGACATAATATTGTTTTGAGTACAATAAGATGGCAAAATTTCAAGTCGATATGTCAAAGGGTTCCGGAGATATATCGATTTATGATTAACACAGAGTACAGACAGACAGACAGACAGACCACACACAAAAACCAAAGTTGCTCAAAATTCGATGGGGATCATTTTCTCCAAAGCAACTATACCTTTATCTCGCTTAGTTTCCGAGATAGCATTTTTGGCACGGCCGTAGTATACTCCACTATGTATAGCGTCGTATAACAAGTGAGGTACGTAGTTTTTGAAAGGTATCAGATTAGTATAAGTAGATGTAGTTTTCAATAGGTATTAGATTAGGTTAGGGGTCAGATAATTTATACGACGCTATAAAAGCAGATGATATTTTATCATTGCTCATGTAAGATGGAAGTAGAGGCCATGGCACCATATCATGAGCATATTTTTATATTGAAACTATCATTGGGCACCAACGATGTGTATACGACGCTATGAAAGTTCAGAGAACTGGAGATTTTTCCCACAAACTACGTACTTAGTCCCCTCGACTGTCTTGGTTTTTCCACACAAACTACGTACCTAGCCCACTCGACTGCCAATAGGGACTGAAAAAACGAAAACAAAAGAAAGTTAAAACAATGCCGACATATATCTTCTTTGTGGAAAATCAAGACAGTCGAGTGAGCTATGTACGTAATTTATTGGCGAAAAATCAAGGCAGTCGAGTGAGCTAGGTACGTAGTTCATGGGCAAAAAATTAAGACAGTCGAGTGAGCTAGGTACCTAGTTTATTGGCGAAAAATGAAGACAGTCGAGTGAGCTAGGTATGTAGTTTATGGGAAAAAAATCAAGACAGTCGAGTGTGCTTTTTTTTACTTTGTTTTGTTTTTTGTTTTGTTTTCTATTGGCAAGTGATTATCTAGGAACTTGTGAATTTTTTAGTTTTTTCATCGTATCTCCCGAACCATTGAATTCAGAGAAAAATGTTATACAGATTTTTTGTAGATTCTATCAAAAGGAATAATTTTGGTTTCATAACATTTTCAGATATTTTCAGTTGTTTTCGAGATATTTGGAATTATCTGAGAATAAAATTTTCAACACTTTTGTTCCATCTTCCAATCAACAAAAGGAAGAAATATTTCATGGTTCAGTGGAAGTCGATGAGCTTCATCTATCGGTAATCTTTGTTTTTCAATATATCATGGTACCCTATGGGTCGTTCAAATAATTTTTTTTCATATTTTTCACTCTATTTCGTATGGACATTTCCAAACTCACTATCGCGGCTACTTTCGAAAGTTTATTCCAATAATTGTAACCAAACTTTCAAAAATTCAAATGTCAACTAATTTCATGTCAAATAGCTGTCAGCCGATATTTCGCTGCTATGGTAATTATCATCTGCATTCATCAAAACCTTATCTACCAAGATTTTTATAGTTACAGTGACAACAACGATGTGATATTTCCCTTCTTAGTCCCGGAAGTACTCACTTCCCGGAGTAGGCCGGAAAAATGCTACTTTCTCAAAGAAAGAGCGTCCGGGAAGTCAGCAGTTCACATCACATTCTATTACAATAAAAAATGACATACAAATGGAATACAAATGGAAAACACATCAATTGTTACTGACGAAAAAACTATGTCAATTGAATGCATCTGATAGGCTGATGGTCCATTATTGTCATTTCGTTGATGACTTCATGGCATTGTGTGGAACCTAAACATCCTCCATTCATTTTTCAACCAGTACCGTTCCAGTGATCTTTGTGGAATAGACTTTACCCATTGATTTCCCAATGCCGTAAAAATAGTGTAATCTTGATTCACATGAATTCATATCAAAAATATACTATTGTACCAGCGAAATGAAAGTGCAACATACGTCTCATATGAAAAATAGTGCCAGCAGTATGCCATCGATTTATTCAATGAGCCATTGAATCGCCAGCTCTGTCGTGTTTGTTGGGTTATGTGTAGAAAAGAATTTGGATACGGAGAGCATCTCAATATCTTTCATCGTTCTAAGGGAAAAAAGAAAAACACATTATTATTATATACTCTTCAGATTATTCTGGCAAGGAAAATGGATTAATAAAAATCATCTTCGAAATTGAAATATATCATTTCAGACGTTTCGTATTTTTTTTGTCTTGGTTGTATGTATTGAACTATCAAACTAACTGAGCTCATTTCGTATTTCCAGCACCTGAACCATTCTTTGTTCATCAACCGATTGTGTCTGACATCACATTTTCTTCGACCGAAGTGAAAATGGAAAATTTTGAAGTGGTAGGATATGATGACAGGTATCCTTCCTATGTTTTTCAGTACATCGAAGACCCTAATCAATTTTCGAATGAAGAGCAAAGCTCACTTAAGGTATATCTTTAGTTAATCGAGTTAATGAGAGACATGTTTATTCAGAAGTTTAGGAATCAATCGTTATTTGCAGAATGATCGGAACTCGTGGATTCGTGTTGGTGATAAGTTAACCATCAACGAAACAAAAATCGTTTTGATAACAAATTTGAAACCAGATACATATTACAGAGTGAGAGCCGTGATGAATATCACTAGAAATGGTAAAAAATTGAAAGAAGATAAGGATTTCGTGAAGTCTACCAGATGGAAAACTGCATGCAATGGTGAGTGAAAATTAGAAACGCGGACAATTTGAAACATCATCGAAATCAGAACAGTGGTGTAGCTTTTGTGAATATTTCAAATCAACTGATGGTGTTCTGTTATGAAAATAAATTAGTTCATTCCAAAATAATTCAATAAAATTCATTCCTCATTCATTGTATGATGATTATGAAACAGATCATAATGAAATAGATTTAATATAATGAGACTATAATAGATAAATGAATCAATTATACCGGGTGTAACAGGATCATGGTGCACCCCCATTATCACCTTTAGTTTTGGAGATAAGTGAAAATTTGGAATAATCTATCAATTTGATTAACGTCATGTTTTGACATGAATATGTCTTATTTTCCATTTCTGATTTCACCGGTAATGATTTTACCTTTTGATTTTTGATTTTCGATTGGAACATTCTGTATATCATTGCATTTGCGAATTCTGATTCAAATGATACCATATAATAATTGGCATTTCAAACTTCAATATTGATTTCAACTCCATTTCTGATTCTCCATCTGAGTGTGCCTTTACTTTTCTGATCGAGTCTGGTGTACTCAAATCGAAAGGTGTAGTGCTGAGAAAAATTGGATCCTGGCAATAAAGTTCCCGATTTATCCTCGAATTCATCGCCAAATTGAGTTCATCAAAATGGTTTGGTAACCTATGATCCTGTTACACACAGTAAAAGATACAACATTTCATATAAATGAGCATATTTTCATTTATTATCAATTTTTTTAGAAATAAGTGATTCTGACATCAACATTGAACCTCATAATATCACTGCATCAGTAACTGTGAAGGTAAGTTTTGGGACATTCGAAGAAACACATACAGACGCGGTATTTTTCTAGAAAAAAGTTGATAGTTGTAGACTGAAAAACTATCATTATGAAATAGAAAATCATCAGGAAACGTTTGTCGAAGAATTGTTCATCATACCGTCATTAGAGCCCTACAAAGAGTACAGTCTAACAATCAAGAATCGGATAAATGGAAAAAAATTCTCAATTCGTTTCAAAACTCGCGAAGGAGGTGAGTTATTTTTTTTTCTCTTCTGAACAATTATTGAATTTGTTGAAAAGGAATATTCTCAGATAAATTATGAACATACAAAAATGGATATATATTTATATAAAGCAATACATTGAGAATTCGCATTCTCTATGTGATGAGAATATTTACTCTTTTTCAGTTAATTCAATAGAAAACAACTACTTTCCTGGCTATATGCCACGACGAACATTGAATTATATCTATTGAACAAACACGATAAGAGTTTGAAAATAAAATATAAAAATTTCTGAAATTGAGAATTTGCATTCTCCTTCAGACAAAAATATGTATATACACACATCATTCTGAATATTCAACAGAAAACAACTACTTTCCTGGCTATTTTCAAACTCTTATCGTGTTTGTTCAATAGATATAATTCAATGTTCGTCGTGGCATATAGCCAGGAAAGTAGTTGTTTTCTATTGAATTAACTGAAAAAGAGTAAATATTCTCATCACATAGAGAATGCGAATTCTCAATGTATTGCTTTATATAAATATATATCCATTTTTGTATGTTCATAATTCATCTGAGAATATTCCTTTTCAACACTTTCATACCCAATCAGGGGGTTCAAACTTGAACGATGGAAACTTGTGATTTTTATAGACTTCTAATCGCAGATTCGTGATAGAGTCTCAATTCAGAATTCATTTCCACGCCCTGTATGATGAATGTCAATTTATCATACACCCAAAAGCAAATTATTGAATTGTTTCTTTTTCTATTGAAAATGTTAATAATGAATCATCAACCAACGATATATTATGAGATTCTGCATCACAACCAATCAACGCAGTTCAAATTCAACACAAATAAAATAAATAGTCTATGTATACATTGTGCCCACTGTAATTCAATATAAACTGATTGACAAATGAAATGGTCCACTTCTGAATATTTCACCCAATTTCGAAATCCAATATTATTAGGAATACTAGTGCGTTTCTGGGAAGGTTCGTTCCATGTTGTGTAATAATCGTTCGAGAATTAGATGGTTCCCAGTAAACACATACTCGTTAATGAAACCTTGAATCACGGTTGGAGTTGTGGAAATAAAGATGCTGGTTGAAAACTTCAATAAGTAGTGGAAAACACGTTTGCGTACTGGTTAAAAAAATTTAACCGACTACGTTATTTCGTGTGTTTACTGGGTTTACCTACTCTGGCCATGATGTGTGTGTTTTCAGATTCACACGTAGAAACATAGACCCATTATAATAAACGAAGAGCCTGGTCGATTTATATACCTTGAACCCTTGGACGATAATTGAGTTTTCTACAGGGTCGGTCATGAAAACATATATCACAAAACTGCAACTGTGTCGGAGCAAATATTGTCGAAAGTATGTATTTTATGAATTGATAACCAGTCGCGTATTTTTCAATATTCTCCTCATTCCCCCAGACACATTAAAAATCACTAGATGTGCATTTCAATAAGTACGACTAGGAGAACTCAGTGTGCCACGTCTGATCCTGCCGCAACCCATGGCACAGTGGCGCTACAGGGGTATAGCAATAACGCGTCAACTACCTTTTCACCCCGGAAAAAAAACTCATAAAGAAATTGTAGATGAGCACTAGATGAACACGAAAAAACAACTGTTCCTTCCATGATGCCGGAAATCCCTGGCACAGTGGGGCGAATCAACAAGTGTTCGAGACAATTTTTTGCATCACTAAGCCTCTATTTTCCCACAGAAATCGAATCGTTCATCATGTCGCGGTTTTATTCGATGCAGTTACAACTACCAAAAGCGAATGATCACAATATCAAACGAACTCACCTGAGTGAAGTTCGATCTTGATTATATGAACCGCCTCGTTTGAAGAGCTCACAAGTGTAGTACCCCAACTTCGCACCAGGTGGCGTCATAAATTTCAAAGCATCTAAAACTTTTCTCCCATCTCTAGATGCTCTCTGCCCTATCGATCTTCGTCTCGGATCTAGTCATTCTTTAAAGCACATTGTCACAACACATCATCGGGTATTTGGGATTATTCCTTGCCTTCTTTTTTGGCCCTGTGACCTTCGATATGAATTTATTTTCTGTCCGCCTTGACGAGGAGGTACAGGAACTTGTCGGGACGTACCCTTGAAGTCCTAATGTTTTCAAATAGGATTTGTTGAACCTTTTGATGTGCTCAGCATCATTTCTGAACTCTATAAACTGTAGGTTACTATCCCCCCCCCCCCATTTTTCACTATTTTACTAATCAACATATATAGTGAGTGGCTGGACTATAGCATTTATATTTATACTTATCTGATTTGATTTTATATGCCAGTGACACGTTCATCTTGCCTCACTACTAACAAATTCAAGGAGGCCTTTACTGGATTATTCCGTTTCGCGGAGTTCGATCAACTGGCTGACTGTTGGAAACAACAGGTTATTGTCGGCAAACTAGATCCAGCCTCACGTTCTAAACTATTCTTCAGAATGGACGCGTCTACCCTTTCAGTATGTTCTAAAGTATGTCCAACCTTATTTATTGTTGATTCCTCTTTCCCAATACTTGAAGAACATATGTTGGTAACATAAGGATTCATTTTGTAATAAGAAGGTTATTATTATTATCTTGCATGCACCAAGATGTCTGGCAATGAAGGATCTGGAGAAATAAAAGAAGATATTGTCAACTGTCAACAATGTTTTTCTGTTCCTTCATTGTCAAATGCTGACTAAGTGAATATATTCATTAAATTTGTGATGTTCACTTGGTTAAAAATGTATCACCACATCAGTTGAAGACTTCAAACTTTCAAAAATATATCTATCTAATAACATTATCAATATCCACTCTGGTTTAGTATGGAAAAGGTATCAACATTATTATAAATATCATTTCCTGCTAAAGAATACTAAGGATTATCTTCATGAAGCTACTTGTCTTGTACAGTCATTCTTCATTATCGACCTCTCTTGTCATGTCATGTCGACTCAAGGTTATGTCGACTGACATCCGTCAGTCCCTTGTCAAGTGTCACAAGTTACCAACTATGTAACAGTATGTTTGTCTGAAAAAACTGAAAAAACAGTTTGAGATGTCAAATTCCGTGAAATATTTCTATCTAATTAATTACAAACTCTGGTTTAGTATAAAGGAGCATCAAAAGTTCATATTTCTTGCTATACTTTGTCTGATGAAACAGTTCTGGATGTCAAACTCTGACGAATTTCTTTGGTTGAGTATGAAAAGATATCAGATTATACAGTGTGACCCAGTTTTGATGGAAACATCACTTACAACATCTTACGTAATCGTTGTGTAAGGATCATGAAATTTGCTGGAGCGAGAGATATACCAAAAATGCACTCTATGACCAAGTGGGGCCATCTTCAGTGATATACACTGCTCGCCAACAGCCATGGAACCACCCCAATTTCCGGAAAATGATATTAGGAGTCAGAATAAGTTGAAAATCACTTCGGATTCGGAATCAGGACGCCCAATTCACTAACTATACATAGTTTTTTCAAAAAAATTTCAATTCAGAAGAATTACATTTTTTCTCACTTCTCATGGAAGCATCCCCGTATCCCACGTGATTATTGTGGTTGTGTTCTGAAATTAGCAGGAGGAAGGGAAGGTACGGAGATGAAGTCGATTACGTAGGATACGGAGGTGCTTTCGTAAAAAGTGAGACAAAAAATTCAATTTTTCAGAACTGAAAATTTTCCAGGAAAAAATATGAATTTTCCAAAAATTGGGTGATTTCATGGCTGTTGGCAAGCAGTGTGTATCACTGAAGATGACCCAACTTGGTCATAGAGTGCATTTTCGCTATAGATACAAGGGTGATCAGAATGCTGAATCTTGAACCACCTTGTATTTGTTCCAATTAAATGTCAGTAGATAGTAAATCAAAAGTTGGGATGGGGACATGGAAGCCGTTTTGACCTATAATGAATAGTTTCGACGCAAAAAAATCCTGAAGTTGATAAATCTCGAATTTGAACACCCTATATCTCTGTAATCATTTCCGCTAGACCCCAAGTGTGATGCATTGATGGAATCAGCTCACAACGGAGAATGTGAAAATGCAATGAAATACAGGGTGTCCTGTATGAAAAAGTATAACTTTGATACGCCACGGATTTCTGAGTCACCCTGTATAAAGCGAAATAATTTGGAGAAGTGCTGCTTATAATCCTAGATCATCTCTGAAATTTTTGTTCATCTATATCAAACAGTGAAGCAGTTATCTCACTTTGCCGCACTAATGACTCACCCTGTATACTCAAAATATGCCGATGACTCATAATTATCAAATACTGGACCCCCAAGGAGTTTTGCAACAAGAAGTCCTCTCATTTCAACAAGAATAAATGATCAGATATAAACAAACAACCAAAAATGACCAATAAAAACCGAAAACAAAATAAACTGCTCCACATTTGAAGTGAGACAAGCGAACATTTTGTTTGTTTTCGAATCGTGATAACTTTGGATGAGATCAACCGATCTTTGATTAGTTTTGAGATTGTGATTGCCCAGTTGATTGGCTATAACATATTTTTTTTACGTTTCTCCACCATTTCGGAATTATGACCTACAGGAATCAGTCACTGGAAAGGGCCCCGCGGTATCCATGGCAATCATCTCGAAAGGGCTTCCAACATTGTTCTGTCTAATGTGTGCTCTCACGATGAGGCCCATTGCTGGCAAAGCACACGGTGCATTTACGGTACCACTCCCTGACGTCGTCACTGCAGTTCACGCAGTAGAACCGCTCTCGTACCCACTGCAGTGTCTTCCTCACTCCTAGATATCCCCCTGAAGTTCCCTCATGTACATATCCAAGTACTTTCGATACTCGGCTCCTAGGAATGACCAACTGCATCCGATTATTCGACCCATCATCGCTCTCGAGATTCCTCTTGAGCAGGTCATCTTCTAATACCAAGGAGTCCCACTGACTCCAGTACGCCTTCAAAGTCTGTGAAGATGGTGCTACTTCTTGCCAA